AGAGAGAGAGAGAGTAGGAATACTATTTGTAGTAAGATGGAGCATGATTCCATGGGAAAACACTCTCTTAAACTTTTATTTATGAGGAAATGAGCTCAAGGCTAGCTAGTGAGGATGGTAAACTTTTATTTATGAGGAAATGAGCTCAAGGCTAGCTAGTGAGGATGGTAAACTTTTATTTATGAGGAAATGAGCTCAAGGCTAGCTAGTGAGGATGGTAGGTCGTAACAACCTAACATTTTGAGTTCCATTCCTTCTATAGGTAGGGGACGCTTCCCCACTACACTACCCGGAAAAAAAAAAGCGCTTTCATTTTTGACATGCTTTCAATAAATTCTCCCATGAAATTAGGCAAAATTAGCGCGCAAACTCTATGCTTGAAGATATTAAATGCCATCACATGATAAAAATATATCAAACCATTATAACCATCGTAATGAAGGTTGGAATATAAATTTCTATACAAATTAAAAACTTTATTTACTAGGTGGTCTTCAAGTTCTCACAACTTTCATTTAGTTCCTCAATCTTGTCAACCATAAAGATACTAAATGCTATCACATGATAAAAATACATCAAACATTATAAGCATCGTAACGAAGGTTGGAATATAAATATTTTTTTAAAAAAAGAGGTTGGAATATAAATTTCTATCAAATTAAAAACCCTATTTACTGAGTGGTCTTCCATCTTTCATTTAGTTCTTCAATCTAGTGAATCATAAAGTCCATTTCGTGGAGGAATTTAGTTTGAATGTTAACTTGGGGACTTGGTTGGAATGGAACTTTAGACATCCCTGACCACCTAGGCATAGATGTCAATCTTCTTTTCTTTTTCTTCCCTTTCTTTTTCCCCTTTTTTTCCCCACCATCCATTCAATTTTACCATGATCAATCTCCTAGGCTGAGTGTCCATAGAGAACTAGAGAACAATTGTTGTTTGCGTGGGTTTGTGTTTTATTGTTATGGAAATCCGTGTTCTCATAATGAAAGCATTCATTCAACATGATCGCATTCTTTTAATAATGAATCAATTGAAAGCATGTGTCTTAGTGCTTTGCAATGCGAAAATTATGGCTTTAAGCCTATAGCACGATTGAGAGGTCCTTGTTGCTACAGTAATACATTGTAATAAAGCAAAAGAAACCCTAACTTACCAATCATACCATAATAAAAATAATAATAACAGAAGAAAAGTAAAAGAGTGGGTGGAGCATGCCTCATTGTAAGGAACCATGGTTGAGAGGGCCAATGTCATTAAACAGTAGAGGATTGAAACAATTGCCACTGAACCAGCAATTCCCACAGGTAAGCTCTTAGATGGGTTCCTAATCTCCTCAGCCATTGTGGATACTGAATCATAGCCAATGTAGCTTATATAAACTATGGCTGCCCCATCAAAGACCCCTTTTATGCCATAAGGAGCCAACCCTTTTGGCTTCACTAAGTTCTTCACACTTCCATTGCTAAATCCGACAATGGTCACAAACCCGACGAATGCCACATGAAATACTGTCATAACTAGGTTCAATAGTGAGCTCTCCTTTGTACTGCATTAGTCACCCACATAAAAAAGAAAAAAGGCAAAAGGAAAGCAAGATAAATTAGCAGATAATATGTATATATAATAAGAAGAAATGACAGTGGTGGTGGTGCTTGTGTGGATGATGGGTGCTACTGATGATGTCGTTGAGGATGATGAAGTAACGAAAGCGTGATGCTAATCTTACTATCCATAAAATTTAATAATGTTAATATCACTAGCATCATGTACCATTTGCATTCACCATCATCACTAACAAAATCGATACTAAGATGCAAGTACCTTGAGGTTACGGGTGTGAAACCACCGTTAAACTATCAATAATCATGATTATGAAGATGATTATGCAGCATTTCTAGTGATAGTAATATAATACTAACAAAGTCCATGATCATGAGAATAACACAAGTGCTTTGTTCGCAATCATGGGAATTATGGTGCCGATAATAGCGATTACGATGACTATATGATGATATAATAATATCCTATCCGAAAGCTATTAGTGGTGGTGAGAATGATGGTGATGAGCACAATGTTGATCGTAATGATGGTAGTTATAGTAGAAAAGGGTGAAAAACAAACCTGTAACACAAACAAATTGTGAGCAAAACGATAAGACCAACTGCAGTGAAATCCAACATGTTATAACCATTTGGTAGAAAGGCCACCTCTATTCTCCATGCATTTGGATCTGTCACCCCAATTGTACTGCACAGATATTCTGTGAAGCTTCTAGCCACAACAGCATTTGATAAAACATATTCCATTAACAAATTTGCCCCTCCAAAGTAACCCACAAATTCACCTGCAAAATCTCATCTCATTCAATAACATATATGTTAACATGACACATGTCACACCTAGCCGACCCCAATTTGTTGGGACAAGGCTTTGATAACTATGGTGATGACATATGTCACACCTATAAGTATGCAAATTATGATTTTGTAGAATGTTATTAGTGTTTGGCACCCCAATTAGTCGGGAAAAAGCTTTGATGATTATGGTGATGACACATGTCACACCTACAAGTACGAAAATTATGATTTTGTAAATCAAATCAAAGTTGGTTGCCCTCCATTTGTTTATTTTTTTTTTGGGGGGGGGTGTGATGGGTGGTGATCTTTTTAGTGTGAATGGGTGCAAAAGGAACCCTTTGGAAGCACCTCATAACCTTTAGGAAAGGGAATGAGCCCATAAAAGTGAAATAAAAATCACAAAAACACTCAATGGGAATTGGGAATGAATAGATTCGAGTACTTGGAATTCATCTTTGCAGTGAATGATTCCCATTATTTCTTGTTTGAGTTATAAATGCTTTTTTGGTTCTTATTAATCCAAGCAATATTATATAAAGCTAGAGTGCTTCATAAATATACATATTCACAAATGGCCTCACACACATGCACACCCTTATAAGCCCACTTGTAATATTGCACACACTTAAAAATAAATAAAAATAGAAAATAAATGAGTTTTGAGGGTCATTTCAAAATCTTTTTACACATCAAATTAGATAATTTTGAACAATTTTATAGTCATCTTATGTCTCTAGCAACAAAGAATTCACACTTGTGTGTTTATCGCACATGAGTGTATGTTGATGTAATGGTCAAAAAAAAGAAAAAAGAAAAAAAAGATTGTAAGAGAACCCAAAAAAAAGAAAGAGAAAAAGAACAAATGTGATCCCAGTCTATGTTTTCATACCAAATGTGATCCTTAGATAGCTGAATGCCCCACCAGCAACAGGCATCTCAACTGAGAACTCGGTATAGCACAAGGAAGAGAGAAGAGCTGCAATCCCAGCCACCATATAAGATATAAAGATAGAAGGGCCAGAGACATTGAGGGCGACAGTTCCAGTGGTGACGAAGACGCCGGACCCTAACATGCCCCCAATACCGAGGGCCACAAGATCGTACCATTCGAGCTTTCGCTTCATGTCGGCCCCCGATCTTTGTCGAATCTCTGTGAGCTCTTCATCACTAGAGCAAGTTGCACCTGCTCTCTCTCTAAGCCTTCTTGGTGTTTGAGAGAGGTTATAGAGGAAGATGGAGAAACAACTTTCATGGTGGTGAGGGGTGGACATCTCCTATCTCTCTGGTTTCTTTAGGTTGTTAGAAGGGTCACTGAGGTTATTATAGAAAGGGTTCAAGAGAGAGAAAGTGGTGGGCCATACAATCTCTCTCTCTCTCTCTCTCTAACTAATGGGGTTTAGCCGTTTATGGTTAGAAGAGATTATTGAATTTTGTATATGAAAAGCGGAGGTGCACCAATGAGCTTATCTTTCCAAGTGCTCTTTTGCAGGGATTAAGCCAAAAAGCACTCCTCTCCCTTGACAGGAATCAAATCCTCCATTTGTTAATTAGCAGCCATATGATATGATCGTGGGGAGGCGAAAGTGAAGATTGGTTATTCACCCTACGTCATTTCTAGCATCAGTGACCCCTCCCTCTCTCTCTCTCTCTCTCTCTCTCACTTTCTCTAACTATCAATCTCTTTCCTCGCCATGACTAACTAGGTTTCTCTCTCATCATTGACCTAATAGGGCTCTCTGTCTCTCATCCTCTCTAAATTAAAATGTTCTCTCATTATTGAAATGGTATCTAAATTAAAATTTTCTCTCATTATTGAAATAGTACCTGACTAATATCCGTTTATACTTAGTTGATATCAAGAAGAGGGATTTAGTTTAATCAAAATTTATTTGATTGTCAATTGAATTGATTGGACAACTTAATAATAATAATAATATTTAAAAATATAAAATGTTGTAAAAAAACTTATCTAATTTACTGAACATGCCTCACTCGACAAAACTAATAAGTCCAACCAGCCAAAAACTGGTTAAATGTTGATTTTAACTGATTTTTTAGCAAACTCAATTTTCACTTTGGACCAGACACCTTGCTTGGGCTTTATGGGAGGCAACGGGTTGGGTTGTGTCAGGGTCAGAAAAAAAAATTATATGACCTAAACTTATCTAGACTTGGACCTGGACCTGAACCCGACTGGACCTGACCCAAAAATAAAAATATATATATTTAAATATTATATTAAATATATACATGTATTGTTTAAATATTTAACTAAAATATATAATTATATTTATTTAAATATTATATATTAAATGTTATTTAAATAATAACACTATTTAGATCAGGTCCACATGGACCAGGATCCATACCCAAATAGTATTTGGACCCGACCTAGCCCCAACGGGTCGGGTCTGGATCCATTGCCACCGAATCGGCTTGCTCTCAATTAACACACGCACACATGATACACAGTTTCAAAGAACATAAATTTGGTCAGCATTGTATAATTGAAATTTCGTTGTTCTTTTATAGGGTGGTCCATCTCGCATGGGATGGAATTGAAAGGAGGAAATTGAGATTGCCCAAATTCTTTAAAGATTTGTTCCATGGTATTTTTATCTTATTTTAAATTGTCAAAAGGGCCCCCCAAGTGGCGAAACCGATGGTCCAAAATATTCTGTGTGCGGCCCTTTTCCTTTAGATCTTGACCGTTCAATCCTTTCACTATTAGGAAAGAGAAAGCAAAAGGTAGTCTTCGAGTGTACTGCACTCGCACACTTATGCAATGCCTTCAAAAAAATCCACCAAATTACTCTCTCCCTCTCTCTCACTCTCCAATCATGAAATAGTTTCAAACTTTCGACTTTCAAGAAATCTTTCCAAATGGGTCTCTCTCTCTCTCTCTCTCTTTTGATGCACCAGTACTCTCGACCTTATATCTCTCTATTATTAAAAGGGTGCGGTTTGTAGTGAGCCTAGGCTCTAAACAATCAAATTAGAGCCTACTTTCAAATAGTATTTATGGTTTCAATATTGAAAATCTTTGTGATAGCCTTAAAATATATTTTTATCTTTATTTATAAAGTTTAAATCTTTAAAAATAGCATAGATTGATAGATCTATAAAAACTTGAAAATCTTGAAAATTGACTGTCCAAAAATACATTACAATATACACTATTTTAAAAACTTGAAATCTATTTTGTTCTCATGTCCATGTATATTGATGTTGAGATGATCAATTTGAGGATATTTAGGAATCAAAACAATCTCTCATAGTGAATTTTTTTAGGTAGGCTCTAATTTGATTGATTAGAGCTTCAGCTCTACATAAACTTTTCCCTTATTAAAATTATGAAAGTGTGACTAGAAAAAGGTCTCCTCTATATCTAATACATGCACAAGCACATTGTAACTCTACATACAAAGTGGACATTTGTACAAGCTACGTTCCCTAGGAAAATGACTCCACACTTCTTTACATAGAAAACCATTTTTCATCTTTTTCCTTAGAGGAATAATGCATCTAATGAAAACCAATAATGCCAAGGCATCTTAAACCCAATCAAATTTAAGGTTTTTTTTTTTTTTTTAGCGAGTATAAAATTTAGGGTTTCCTAATAACTATTTGCATAGACTTCTAGAATGATAAGGTTATTGAAAGCCTCTAACCTTGCCTTTAGAGAATTTATGTGGAATCTTGATATGCTCACTTATCTCATGGGGGCCAAGATTCTTAGATAGGATTAATTGCCATAAAAAAATAGATCTCCTAAAATTGTATGGAATGTTCAGTTAAGAAAACAGATTTCTTAAGCTAACTTATTCTTCTTTGAATGTATAGATTGCTAAAAATAGAGGGCCTCCTTAAGACCATAAGAATTTCCTCCATGGCCTGGGTGAATAACATAGTGGGATGTGCTTTTACTTGATCAGCATCTCTTACTCCAAAACTTTTACTTACCATGGCTAAGTAATATTCATTTATCAGAATTGAGTGTATTGAATTCAATGATTCCTGTCCCTTCAAAAATTGAACTATCACTTTGGTTATGGGACCATTATGTTATTGGTTGGCCCACGTATATGCACATGGAATTTACAACATATTCCATGTATGGGCTAGGGGTTTTCAAATAGAGTAAGCTCCTAACTAGACTTATGAAAAGACTAGAATAATTCTGTTAAATTTTTCTTTTCTTGCTGAAGTTTTTATGTTGAATTGGCTCGAACGTAGAGTTTTTCATTTTACTTTTTGAGAAGGATGGAGTTTCATGTGAGCACCACATATGTGAGATCAACTTTGCTCTATGGGGCGAAATATTGGACGGTCAAAAAATAATATACCCATAAAATGAATACAACGGAGCTGAGGATGTTGAGATAGATGAGTGGCAAGACAAGAAGGTATAAATTTTAAAATGAATGCATTCGATAAAATTTAGGTATGACACCAATAGGCGATAAGATGAGAGAGAATAAACTCGAGTGGACTGGGCATGTGTGGCGTAGATCCAGTACTGTACCTGTTAGAAGGTACGAGTTAGTTCAAGTGGAAGGCACAAAAGGGGCAAGGGGTAGGCCCAAAAAGACATAGTTGGAAGTAGTGAGAAAATATATGAGGACTTATGACCTCACTAGGATATGCCATTTAATAGAGCAAAATAGTGGATCATGATTCGTGTAGCTGACCCCAATTAGTTGAAAAAGACTTTGCCGATGATGATGGAGTTTCTATACGGCCTAAGCATTATGAAAAAAAAGTAAAGCCTCATCTTAAAACCTTGTCGAGAAAATACTTTAAGCATGGGAAATCATTATGATAGCTCTAAAGTCAATTTCTACCGCTGACTATGAAATTTGTAGCAAAAAAATGGTATAGATCTTGCGGATCCGTGAATGCTTATTTTTAAGGCAAAATAGAAGGTTTAGATAATGTGTTACAATGTACACAATGTACACTAATGTTTTTCACAACCACAATTATCAAGGTCGAAATGATCGATTTTAAGGTTTCCCGACGCTAGAGTTGTAATTTTTAGTGAATTTTGAGGTGGAACTTTACTTATTTTGATGGGGCTGCAGCCCTATCAAAGATTTTCAACATATCTACCAGGAAAGAGAGCTACACCGAAGAGTTTTTTGGACGGTAATTTAAGATCCCTTTACAATCATCATATAGGTAATTTTTGAAAAGAAAATAAAAAAAAATATACATTTTGAGTTCTTAAATACTTAAATCCGATTGTCCCTCGTAAATTCGTTTTGTATGCTTCTCCTCGAGTATAACGAGAATGGCATTCTATTCATGTTTAAAGTGTTTAAATTGTGTACAATTATGATATGAATGGTTTTTGAATACGTTTGCTAAAACCAAATTTGGAACGACCACTAATCATGAGTAAAAGTAATTTTTTCCTAGGGAACTAGTCATTCAGCGAGACATTTGATTAGTTCCAACGTACTCATGAGTAAGCTACATTTCTAAACTTAATTTGTTGGAAAATATTTATCTTTGGTACAAGGAGGTCACAATTAATTTTGATCTTTGGATGTGAAATTGGGTAGCTGCATTTATTTCATTGACTAAGCTCAAAGTTCAAAAGAAATTTTCTTGAACCTTGTGACACACCCAAACTATCAGATTTCACATCGGATGGTTATAAATAATTATGATCTCCTTGTACTAAAGGTAAATGGTGTCATTTTATACAACCCCTAATTTATTTATTGCAATTAGCTGCTAATGTAATGAAAGAAACTTGTTTTTCAGAGTACTCAAGACCATTTATTCATGAACAAGGTAGTCCATCCAAACGTCGTGGTATCCATTAAGAAAGGGGCCGGGGTCCTCACGCCCAGTTACTACATCGTGATATCCATTCCCACCGCTGATACCCCCCAACTAACATCTTCAAAATGTAACTCCCTAAATCTATTGAAAAAACGAATAGGGACCTATTTTCACCACTGAATTACCCAAAAAAAATGTAGTTCATCCAAACCTGCCCAGAGATAAGTGCAATACCACCAAAAACTTTTACTTAATTAATGCTCAGCGGTGATGAAGTGAGATGCCAAGGATATTCATATTTGAGTGAGGGACCTTGAGGGTTCGAACCCAATAGAGCTCTTGATGGGTACCTGTGATAACCCTGTGAAAATAGCAACAGTGGATGAATAAGGACGATTACTTTCACTTAAAATAGAATTAAGGCTTCCAAAGTTGCCAAAAACCGAAAATTGACTCGGTTAAAATACTCAGATTTTGG